CATTCAGCAAGGGTTCAGGGCCATCTAATATGATAGCAAGCCTCTGCTGCTTGCATGTCTGGACTTCTCTGAGGTGCTCATAAAGAATAACATCTCGGCCATGTCCTGTGTCAGCACGATCTGCAGTCCTTCAAAGAGAAGCTCACTTGGGCAGTCAAGAATTGGCAGGCCACTGTCCGTTCACTTCCAAGGGAAAATGGAGTTTATGACTGAGTTCAGTCAAAAAATTGCCATCCAATGTGGGAACTGCACCCATAGATGTTCCAACTGTTGGTAAAGGATTTGATTTCCTAGAAGTGACGCTGTTTTTGTTTTGTTTTTTCTCAACTGAATTGCAAGGTTTGTGTTCAGATGGGAGCTGCTTGCAGTAGTGCTATATAGTAGCAGGAAAAAGTCAATCCTTTTAGTATCTCTGACCATGTTGGTTCCCTTTGTGCCCTCTATGAAAGAACACCACTAGGAAAAGTGCAGTGGCATGCATCTATGGACCACGCAACAGATTAAGAACAAGAATTTAATGCCTAACCCCCAAAGTTATTTCGTTAAGTAACAAGACTCATGTATGCAACGCATCCTGAATGGCGGTTCATCAAGGAAGGCTGGGGCTGTTAATTACAACTCGGAGTTTAATTGATTTGAATTTCTTACTGTGTAGGCAGACTGTCCCCTTTATCAGTAGGAAAATGAAATGTTTTCTAAACAAAAACTAGTGTCCGGAGGCAGTTTAGGCTGTGGAAGTGTCTCGATGGATAAGATTCACAAAGCACTTGCTTTGTCCTAGGGTTAGATTTTGCCTCCCACTATGGTTGCAGGGACTAGAGACCCAGCATCCAGGATCTGTGGACCTTCTTTATTGTGCCAAGAAAGGGAACTCTTGAGTAAGGCACCGATGAAGCATTTCTATATTAATGTAGCTTTAAGCAGTATTTCTGCTCCTAACTTTAGTATCTCTGCCACAATCTTTTTTTTCCTTCAGCAAGTAACTCTGTAAATGGCACCCCCCCCCCCAAAAAAAAAAAAAAACCCAAAAAACAAACCCCAAAAAACTCACGTGTGATATTATGGAAAACGTGATGCCTGTAGGATGAAAGGGAACTTGTTGATTTGTTAAGCAGCTGTTAGAGGTATAATTGTTGGGTGGTTCTACAAGGGGATAGTTAAACCTATTGGCTTGTGTTATAGCACTTTGCATCTTGCTATGAAGTGTTGAAGGAAACCCCCCTAACCAGGACTCTTGCATGAGCATTCAAACACTTTTTCTAGGAAGGATTGACTGCTGGACTACCTGTCCTTACAGGGACTGGAGTTGCATGTTTATAGTAAACTCTATAGAGTTCTTTAGCAGGTCTTCAGTTATGGGGGATTTTTTAAATAGTTTTTGCTGGTACAATAAGCTAGCTAAGAATGAGTTCAGATTTAAATCCATTCTCCATGCAGATGGTAATTGGGGGTAGTATGCATAGTGCTAATAGACATACCCAAGAGCCATTTTGAAAGAGTGAAATTTTAACCAGTGCTTTCCTGTTGATAGGCAAAACAGGGACAACATTACATTTATATGGTAGAATAATTGAATTAGGTCTTAAAAACCTCTAGGGATGGAGAGTCCACAACCTCTCCAGATTATTGCCCACTGTAACCCCCAGTGCAGGGCTGCTGCTTAGCCAGTCGGTTGCCAGCCATGGGATTGTTCTGGCCTGAGTGCAGGGCTTTGTAGTGGTCTTTACTGAACTTTATGAGATTTCTTTTGGTCCAATCCTCCAATTTGTCTAAATCACTCTGAATCCTAGCCCTACCCTCCAGTGTATCTACTACTCCCCCAAGCTTGGTGTCATCCATGAACTTGCTGAGGGTGCACTCCATCCCGTCTTCCAGGACGTTGATGATGATACTGAACAAAACTGGCCCGAGGACCAACCCCTTGGGTACTCCTCTTGAGGCTGGCTGCTAAGTAGAAATGGAGCCATTGATTGCTTCCCTCTTGAACCTGACAATCCAGCCAGCTTTCTATCCACCTTAGTCTGTTCATCCAACCTGGATTTCCTTAGCTTGCTTGCAAGAATGTTGTGGGAGACGGTATCAAAAGCCTGGCTGAAGTCGAGGTAAATCACATCTGCTGGTCTCCCTGCCTCCACAGAGTCAGTCGCCTCATCATAGAAGGCAATCAGGTTGGTCAGGCATGACTTGCCCTTCCTGAATCCATGCTAACTGTTCCTAATCACCTTCTCCTCCTCCAAGTGCTTAGAAATGGATTGCATAAGGACCCTGCTCCATAATTTTTCCGTGGGCTGAGGTGAGGCTGACTGGTCTGGAGTTTCCCGGATCCTCCTTGTTCCCTTTCTTAAAGATGGGCACCGTTTGCCCCTTTTCTAACGTCTGGGACCTCTCTCAGTTGCCATGAGTTTTCAAAGATAATGGCCAGCACCTCCTGCAGTCACATAGGTCAACTCCTTCTGCACCCTTGGGTGCATCGCGTGAACTCATACGTGTCCAGCTTTTCTAAATGGCCCCTAACCTGTTCTTTCACCACTCCTGGCTGCTCACCTCCTCCCCAAACTGCTGCCTGCTGCAGTAGTTTAGGAGCTGACCTTGCCTGTGACAACTGAGCTAAAAAGCGATTGAGCACTTCAGCCTTTTCCACATCATCTGTCACTGGGTATTTCCCCCATTCAGTACTGGACCCACATTTGACCTAATCTTCCTCTTGTTGCTGGCATGCTTGTAGAAACCTTTATTACCCTTCACGTCCCTTGCTAGCTGCAATTTAAATTGTGGTTTGGCCTTCCTGACTTCATTCCTTCATGCCCAAGCAATACTCTTATACTCTTCCCCAGTTGTTTGTCCAAATTTCCACTTCTTGTAAGCTTCCTTTTTGTGCGTTGGCTCACGGAGGAGTTCCCTGCTAAGTGATGCTGTGTGGCAGCACTTCCATGGCAGACTAACGTGCCCTAATGCAGGGTGTGTTTCTTCCTCCTTCCTTCCCCTGCTCCTTTACTCATTGATGTTCTGAGATATTTGGCAGGCATGGAAAAGTGTTGTGTGTGGCTTTCTGTTTGTTTTGTTTTTTGTCTGATGAACTAAAACCTACTTCAGAGTGGTTGCTTTTAAAGTCTGCGGTGGAAACGACCTGAAGTGGCATTTCTTCCTGATGTAATGAATCTGGCTTTCCTAGCTGCAGAGGTGAATTACTTAACATACTCCTTAAATTAGGGCTTAGAGTGCTAATCCTAAATCTTGCACAACCGAACTGTTTCTGTGCCAGAGTTTTAAATGCCAACCAGTGCGTGGTAACGAGCAGCCCCACCCCGTGCACAGACAAGCAAGATTATGTGGCTTTTCTATTAGTCCATTTTCAAAAGGAGAAAAACTGGAGGTGTTCCCTCAACAGAAGGCCTTCCAGCAATAGAAGATCTTTTTAGACTAGTCTTGCGTGTAAATAAAAAACCAAGCAAACAAGCAGTAGTTTTGATGTTGCTATCCTGAATAACAGACTTCAGACACTTCTCTAGTTCTGAATGGTAGTTGTTGCAGTGTGTACTTAATATTTCTGGTATTGCCCAGAAATACTTTATCAAGTTGGAAAGGACCAGTTTTTCCATTGTGAAAGGGGATGTTGCTGACCTAGGAGTCTGCCTCACTTTTGTTATGAAAGCTGTGACAAGTCCTGGCTTGTTGTACAAACTATTGTTTGCTGCAGGGACATGTTTGGCTGAGTCATTACCAACTTGCAGTGGACTACAGCAGGGTTTCCCAAAGTATGGTACGTGTGCCCTTGGGGGTACACAAGACATCTCTGTTGGGAAGGGGGAGGGTACACAGGAGAAATTGGGGAGTGGTGGGTTTAATTTTCATAATTGGCATTTCAGGGGTTAAAATATAAAATGTATGCTGGTAGGGGTACACAGGGGGCTGGTAAATCTGGAAGGGGGTATACAATAAGAAAAATTTGGGGAACTCGTAGACTACAGATTATAGCTACGCTATACATGGGTGAGGGCATTTTTTCAGTTCAATTTCTAGAAAGGGCAAACCTCTCCTTTCCGAAGACACAACTCTGCAGTGGAGTTTACATCAACAATATGTAGTTTCTGCGCAAAAGCTTTTGCTTATCTTGGTGGAATTGGTTCCTTATGAAGAGTGTTTGTCTTCTAGCCTACATAAAATAATTTCGGAAGCTCAATGTTATAGACATAGTAATGGTACACAATGCTTGTATGCTACTCCATATTTAAGGTACAAAAAAAACTGGCTAATTACAACTTGCTTGTGGGATAACCATAGCTTGGGGGAGGTGGGGGGGGAGGGGTCACTGGTACCCATGGCTGTGAAGTGCTTTCTTTTTTCTGTCTGCAGTCCTTGCTCTGACAGTGACTTTAAGGTTGTCTACAGAAGTTGCTCTCTTCACAATTTAAAGAGCTTTATTGTCGTGACTTAACAGAAGTGCATGGCTTCACAGCACTTTAAAAATGGGTATAGTGCTTTAAATTGACCCTTGTTCAAAAAGGTATTACATTTGAAGCGCTGTATTTTAACAGAGAGTGTTGGTGCTGCCCTCCTGCCTGGCTGGAGACCCTGCTCTCTCCTGACAGTACATTTGGGAAGGGCCTCTGCAGTCCTGGATGAGTCAGGGAAGGTGTGTGTGTGGTTGAGAAGGTGTGGTACAGGATGGGACTCATCAAACATCCACAGATCACGGAGCCCCAGAGCTGGGAGCTTGGCATAGCACCTGGGCATTGCCTGGGGGGGATCCAGGGCTGGAATGGCACCTCTTTCCCCCCAGCTGCCCCTACCCCACTTCTGCCAGCCCCCATTTCTCTTTCTGTGCCCCTGCTGTTCCCTTGCTCTGTGCCCAGCTCTACCCTCTCCACTGGTCTGCTGCTGTCGCAGTCCCTGCAGCCCCAGGAGGCTGCGGAGTCTCCTAGCCTGCAAAGTGCAGGGAGGCTCAGAGCAAACCCCCCCCACCCCCCTTTTAGCGCTCGAAAAATGCTCTAAATCACAAGTGGACAGAGCACTACCCTGTACATACCCCAGGTTGGGTTTTGGGTGCAGTTCAAGTGTCCAAAGCTGTTTATGGCTTTGATGCTTTATATTTGAGACTACCTGCAGTTCAGTACCACTGATCTTTGAAGTGATGAAAGTGGTGCTAACATAGAAGCAGAATTCATATCCTGCAAGATCAGATGATACTGTTCTAACAAGCAGCATAGTTCAAGTAGGTCTCTAGCAAATTCTGGCACTAGGAAACTTTGAGAGAATAGTGTGGATACATCTTTTTTAGGCCACGTTTTTTCTTTTGTCTTGCTTTCCTCTGACACCTTCTGGCATCTCAGAGATTTTTAGGGAACTTCAGATAATAGCGTGTGAGCAGGAAGTTCTTGCTTAAAGTGCCTTTGGCTCTGCAATGTGCTGCATACTAATGCTACAGAGCCCACGGGCTCTAGGCTTTTGATGGGTTTAAAAGGGTTTTCACTTTCTGTAGGTTGGTTACTCATAGTTTGACAAATTTCATATTTCAGACATTGATGTGGTAGAGCCGGGGTTCTCAACCTGCAAGTTGGGGTATGGCCTTTGTGGTCAAACCGTATGGACCTTGGTGGGGGAAGAGTGGAGAGGACCTGAGACTGCTCTGGTTGCTGTTGAATCAGGGTGGATCTACAGAGCCATGAAGCCTAGAAGCTGCATTGGTTTCTGTGGGGCAGGGATATGGCTATTGCCATCGTCATCCCTCTACCTCTTATCTAACTGTTCTTTCTTTTCTTCCTACTCCTCCTCCTCCTCTTCTTCCTCATGGCTCTGCAGGAACTGGGGCTGCTGTGCTTGGACCAGCTTGGGGAAGGCCCCAGAGCAATTGTCTAGTACTGGACTGCAGAAAAAAATGAACCAGGGAAGGAGAAGCAGGATTACCCTCCCACCCCATCCCATGTAATAAGAAAGAAGGATAGCCCAGTCACTAATAGGAGGGAAGTTGAAATAGGAACACAGAAAGGGAACTAAGGAGAGGGGCTGCTGCTTCTGCCTCATAAATATCCAACGTGGGAAGAAAGGTGAATGCACCTTCTGAACAGGAATGCACGAGTCTGGTGGAGTTCAGGTCTGAGCATGCAGGGTGGGACTGGGGAGGGCTCCATTAGTGAGGAAGGGAGATCCCTGTGTTTGTCTGGAAAGGATCTTGGGTATTTGAGGTGGTTCAGTTGCTGATATCTCAAGCTTTAGGTAGTGGTGGTGAACAGTGTGGCCTACCAGAACAGCTGCAGGATTGTGTGTGCAGCCCCCAGGGTGAACATACCAAGAACTTCTGGCCTAAAGAAATGTGGGATATGTTTAGATAGTAACTATTACCTATGGCCAAGAAGGAGATTCCCTGCATTCATATAACATTTATGTACATTTACTAACCTGCTTCTGATCTATTTTCCAGAGCTAGAGGCAAAAGACAAGCTGCAGCTCTAAAAGTAAAGCATAACAAATGCTTTCTCCTTTCTGACTGCAACTCTGGCTTTAGGTTTTAAATGAAAGATATTCTTTTCAGCCCTTCAGGTGCACTACAGTGTTTAAAATTAAATAGATTTTCTGCCTCCAGAATAAGTTTTGATAGAAGGCTGCAGTCAGAAACACTCCTACAAATTAAAATACTAAGATTACCACTCTGAGCTATTCCAGTACTTTAGGGAAGGAAAACTTTTTGTAGCATTCTGACATGTGGCAGTAAACTTGCTTTTTTCCTTACAGCTGTATAGCTTGTTATTAAAATATATACATATAATTTTCATGAATTTGCCGAATCCGACTAGAAGAATTGGAGGAATAATGTGAGCAAAGCAAAGTGTTTTTGCAGATGATGGTGTAAAAAGATGTAACCGTTTTCAAAGGCCTCTGTCTTGGACAAAATCTAATACACAGGTACTTAACATTTGCAAAATGAAAGTATGAAAATTCATATGAAATTAGCCTTTACAGAAGTTGTAGACTCTTCATCACTGGAGGTGTTGAAGAAGAGGTTGGACAGCCACTGGTCAGAGATGATCTAGGTGTAGCGATACCTATGTTTTACCATGGGTATTTCCTGTGCTTCTGGGCTTTCCTGGTTGCTCCTTTTCCTCTCCCTCCCCCCCTCCCCTACTTTTTTCCTGCTGTATGTGTCAGGATTTTTTTTAAGCCTCCCAAGATGCATTGGGTGTTGGCTACAGCTAAGGTCAGGGACTTCAACTGGGGTGTGCTGATGCTCCTGCTAGGAGCAAAGCGGGATGTTCCTGGCTAGAGGGCCTTGCCCCTCCATTCAGGGTCAGACCAATCGCCATATTTGGGGTTAGGAAAGAATTTTACCCCGTGGTCAGCATGGTATGACGGTGGGAGCTCCCTGTAGCAGGGAGCATGGCCCTCAGCCCAGGACCTCTGGTGTATATATTGACAATTATTTCATAGAAGCAGGATGTTGACTGCCGTGGTTCCCTTGCTTCACCTGTGGCATGTTAGGGTGTTAGGTCTATGCTGGGTCAGGGTTGACCATAGTTTTATGTAGAGTTTAAATTATGGTTGTATAGGATGGTTTGGATAGGGATGATCCTGTTTCAGGCAGGGGGCTGGACTAGATGACCTCTGGAGGTCCCTTCCAGCCTTCTGTATGACTTCTAGGACTGCTGCTTGATATAGAAGCCACATTCTTCTGTATCACTCTTTGTTTCCAACTTAGACTAGTAGGATCTAGAAAAACTTAAAATACAGAATATTAGCTTCATTTCTAACTCCTCATGAAATCATATGTTATTGGTTACTTCAAAGAAAACTAGCATTTGAGAAGGCAAGTTAAAACCTGCCTGCATGTTTTACAACCATGTTGTTTGCGGGGTAAGAATGTAGAAAGCGCTCCTGCAAAGCATCAAAACTCTCCAGAGTTGGAAAACACTAGAATTTAAGGTTGTCTGTACAACATTTAGTTGTGTGTCTCTTCTGTGTACATGTGCTCTAGTCTTGCATGTTTGTGCTATGTGTTTCTGCAAGGCCTTGTCTTACTTGACTGTCAAGAAAGTGTGATTGTTGAAAGGCAGCTTATTGAGTGTGTAGGCCAAAACTTTTTCACACCATCTAAACCCTGCACTGAATTCAGTTTTTAAGCCAGAAGGCAGGGCAGAGTAGTACCTCAGACACTAACTAGTTCAAAGATGCATAAGCTTTTGTAGGCAACAGCTTACAGGCAACCCCTGCTTAACGCTGTTTTGCTTAGCACTATCTGGCTATAATGCTCATTTGAAATTGATACCTGGTTCCACTTAGCACTCTGCGAGTTTTGTTATAATGCTCCTGGTCGCCGTCTTAGATCATTAAAAACACTTGCAGTTGCCATCTTGGGTTGTCAGATACTTTTGGTTTTGCTTAACACTCATTTTGCTTAGCACTCGGTTTTTCAGGAACCAGTTAAGAGCAGGGGTTGCCTGTACTTCATCACATGTTATGGATTAATTCAGTTCTGTCAGTTTAATTCCTGCGCTGATCATAAACCTAATGTACAAGTATTTTACAAACCCTAATGAATCCTTTTCATACCACTTCTTTGTGGTAAGGTGGTATTACCCTTTTTTTATATACTAGTAGAAGGAACTGAGTTAAACTGGAGTTCAACTGAAAAGGGCCCACCGACTTGTAGGGATCTAGCTTTTAGATTAAACGTTAAGAGGAGTTTAAAAGTTCCTGTGACTTCACTTGCATTTATGCACTGCTGCAAAGCAGGCCCCAGCTGTCTCGAGTGGGGTACCCAGCAATAAGACAGTGACCCCCTGTGAAGTTTTGTTTTTTTTTATGCAACTTGCCCAGTGCTACGTAGGAATTCGATGGCAGAGGCATGGGTAGAGCCAGTTCTCCAGGGCACCATTTAGCATCCTTAACCATGCGACCATCCTTCGTGCCTCACTTACTATGCGCCTTTTGAGAGCTAAATCAATTAAAGCAGAGAATAAGGCAGCTGCCTGATTCTCTACACACGCTTACTTATTCCTTGCATTATCCATCTGTTGCCTAAACTAAGGCTCTGACTGGGAAAGTACATCTACTTTCCAGTGAGCCTTGTTATAAAAGACTTGGTTGTAACCTGATCTGTGGAGTGACTGCTGCCTTCCCATGAGGCTCAGTTGAAATGATTTAGCCTCTTGGCGGGGGGTAGGGGATGGGGACTGGACCACTTAAATCATTTGTATAAATTAGTTTTCAAGGGTCTCTGGAATTTTGTACTTTTTAGCTTTTCTAAGGATACTAGTCAACTTCCAGCTTTCCTTCCATCTCCCTCCTTCCTTGTCTTCCTTATTATGCTAGCAGGCTGTCCTTGGAAAGTGAAGCTGTAGAGAATGAACGTCCCTGACTGCAGAAAATGAGACAATTTTCTATTCAAATTTGTAAATTGAACTACTTTAGTAATTTGTCAAGATGAGTAGGTATGAAATCTGCATGAGCAAGAAGGGATGGCATGTGGGACAGCATCTGTCACTTGCACAGACAACCTTGGGAGACGCATTTATAAAGCACTTATGGGAACTCACAAGCACGTTGCAGTGTGTGCCAGGACTGCAATAAGAAAACAGTTCTTCACCAGAGGTTTCGGGGAAGATGGGGGAAACTTGAAGCTTGCGCTTTCCAGGGAAATCCTCTGTAAGCCATGTAGGGCGTGAAAAAAAAACAGATTCTTCCTCCTGGGCTGGATCTGGGCACAGTGGCATGGAGCGAGCAGCAGCGGCATGAGGGTTAACATGGCTTACTCGTCCCCAGCAGGGCTTTGTACATGGGAGTCTGGTGGCAGGCCCTACCCCTTCCCAAGCTCACCACCAAATTCCTGGCCCTTCCAGGGGCTCCATGGGCCAGGTGAAGGACCTCTTTGAGTCAGAGCTGGCCCGCAGAATGGCTCTTTGACATCCTTGTTCTCAGTGCTTGTTAGGAGCTTATGAAAAGCCCTGACTTCAGAGAACAGATTGCATCCATTTCTAATGAGACTTGTGATCTGAAGTCACTTACAGATCCTGCTTAACACACAGCTATCTCTTGATGGCTCATGGAAGAAGGGAGAAACACCTGCTTCTAAAGATTCCAGTATTTGCAATGTTCAGAAATGATAAATTGTACCCTGAGCACAGAAAAACTCGAATTGGTTGGAAAACCAGATAATTGTTTCATCGTAGAGGTCAGACAGCGTTTCCCTACTTCAGCGGTTCTCAGCCTTTTTAGACTCCTGGATCTCATGGTACCCAATGGGGCTGTGGTGTCCCTGTTAAGAACAACTACTCTAGTTCCTACAACCAACCTTCTTAGAGGTGGTGTAATCAATTGCTGCCCTTTATTAGTGTTAGGTAAGTATTGATATTGAAAATATTGATAAGGAATGTGCTAAGTACTGCATACTTGTCAACTCGAATTAAGTCTTGTTGAAACTCTTTAGAAAACGAACCTGCATAGATTGGTTTTCTTTTTGTTTCAGGGCATGATTCTTCCCGCTGTATGATCTTTATGATATGCTGTGACAGTTTTATGAGCATTTTTGCTGCTTTCTCTTGCTCTTTCCCAGGCTAACTTTTTGTTTTGTTTGTAGGTACAATGGCTCCCTGCCTAATGGTGACAGAGGACGTAGGAAAAGCAGATTTGCTCTCTACAAACGACCCAAGGCTAATGGAGTCAAACCTAGTACTGTTCATGTGATTTCTACACCCCAAGCATCCAAGGTATGTGGCTGTTGGAGAGCTTTCTCCTCCTGACATCTTGACTGAAGATACAATATTAGTAGTGTACTTGCCCCCCTTTTTTGTGCTTCATTGCCATTTCGGTTGTTCTTGGTGTTTAGAATCAGTGAAAGAGCCTGATGAGAAATCTTCAATGTCTCCTCTTTCTGGTGATACTTGCTCTGATTAAAACTTGAAAGCTGCCTTTGAAAAGAATTTTAATATCTGATCCTATGGCTTCCATACAATGGCTTATTGGTAGGACAATTATTATTATTATTTTTTTGCTATTTGAGGTATAGAACAAAATGTCGCTCTAGTATCTAGAGCGCAGAACGTATTTTTGCTGCATAGCCAGAGGTAACTTTTAACATGTTGATGGTTAAGCTGTTGCTTGCACTTCAGTTAACACCTTTTCAGGAAGAAAATTAGCATTCTATTGAGCAAAACAATGTTGATCTCCCTGGGATTATAGTAATTCATAAATCTGTGGTTGTATAACATGCACAAAGTGTCCCATGGGTTGTCTGATGTGTGTGTATATACCCTCTCTTCCCCTAACCCAGTCATGATAGGGAAGTAAATTGAAGCTCCTGGTCGAAGAGATGGTAACTTGCTAAAGAATGGTGTTCTGTTGTAGTTGAATATGGTACTTCCTGTACAGTCTGGGTGAGATGCTTCTTTTCTACACATCGTTATATATAGTTACTGAGATCCTAAAATGTGGGCAAGGTAGCTATCAGTTTTTGACAGTGGACTTTGATTTGAGATCTAGATAATATATTTGTCAAGTCACGTAAGAGTTTGTCCAAACACCGACTGTGCGCCATAGATTTTGGTTAAAGATTTTTATTAAAGCAACTTCATTATTTTAGACATTTTAAGTTGCTTTTAAACACCCTTCATCAGGCCTGATGAAGGGCATTTGTGCCCGAAAGCTTGCAATTAAAGAACTTTTTTGCAAAAATCTAGTTGGTCTAATAAAAGATCTCACCTCTACTATGAGTCCTGATTGCTTTTTCCTCTAGACTAATATGGCTACAACCTGGATACCTGATTTCAGATTAAGAATTTTGGAAAAAAATGGGGGAGTTCTTCATAGCTTATCTGAGCATATTACAAGTAGGTGAAACTCTTATGTTGGTACATGACTGTAAGTGTGATGTACTGTATAAAAACACACGCATAGACTCCAGTCTGAAAAAAATCATGGAAAAGAAACGGGGGGGAGTGTACTGGGGTGGAAACTTGAAATTTCAATGAGATGCTTATCTTGGACTGATTCAGGCTTATCTTGAAAAGATAATCTAAAAAAACAGAGAGAGAAGGAAAACCTGCAGTCTTGCTACAGAACATTCTTTTAGTGAGCTATTTTTTGGAGCGAGGGAATTTCCTGACAAAGGTAAATATTACCATCTGGATTTCCAGTGTATAGTGTGATTTTACCCCCTCCCCCCCCCATGTATGTAGATTTGCTCTTTTTCTTTAATTATTCTAGAACATGCATATATACAACAAAAGAAAGGCAATAAAATTGACATAAAGAAAATGCAGTGATACTGTGTACCGAGGCAAGAGGAAGAACCAATGTCAGGAGAATATATCAGTACGCTAAATGCTAGACATGGGAAGAGGAATGCCCGTTGTGCAAATGTGAGCTAAAAATAAATCTGAGATCATTAATAGAAATGAAGAAAACTTAATGGCAAATGGTGAATATGAATAGAAAAGGACAGTCAGCATACTAGAGGCCTGATGTGTATTTGACTTAAGAAGAAAAAAGCAACTGTTTGTTGAAAAGGGTCCAGTAGCTGAAACATTGAAGATAAGAGCTGTCCAATTACTTTAACAGATCTTCAGCATGCTTTTAGAAGCCTTAAACTGTTTTAATATTTGGTTTGTAGAATGGAAGATGGGTAAGACACGGGTAGTAAAATGAATCCACAAACTTAAAAAAAATAGCTTGCAAATAAAGACCTTTTTTGCAAATATCTAGGCGGTCTAATAAAAGATATCACCTGTACCACGAGTTCTGATCCCCAAACTACATATTTACCAAATGATTCGGCAGAAGATACAGCTCCAAGAAGAGATAATGGTGCTTTTGTCAATCTGCTTTTCATTTGGAAAACAACCATTTATACTCAAGTTACATGACTGGATCTTTAAGAAGACGTAGAACAAGGGCTGAAAAGAACCATTTGGTTAGCTGGCTGCAGTTTTGCAAACCTCAAGGATTCAGAGTTGCCTTCAACCATTAAATAAATGTGGGTGCCTTTTTTGAGCCCTTAGGGAAGTAGTTCTTAACCTTTTCAGGGTCAAGGCATCCCACCACCGCTTTTTATTTTTGGTGGGTTTTTTTAATGCAGGGAAACCTCAGGCTGAGAACTGCTATTAGTGCTGCCTTGGCTTACCTGAGCGCTTCTCAGCTGGGTTCTGCTGCTGGGAAGGGCTGTGCAACTGCAATGAAACTGCCCTGTGTTGCAAAGCCAGCTTGGGAAAGGCTGTACCACATGCAGGCACTCCCCTGGTATTAGCGCTCCCGAAGGAGCATACAGCTGGCAGCAAAGCTGCCTCTAGCAGTGCAGCTCTTTCTAGTCCATCCCTGCTCCCCACCCTTACCCCATGCTCCTCCTGGAAACAGGAGCAGCGGGACAGTTTCACCCACACCTGATCCTGTTTTGGTCCCTGTTCCTAGGATGACAGTCAAAACTGGGATATAGGCAGGAGCAAGAAGATCTTTGAAAACTCTTGGCGCTCTGGTGTAGTGCCCGAAGACTGGAAGAAGGCCAATGTGGTGCCTATCTTCAAGAAAGGGAGGAAAGTGGATCCGGCTAACTATAGGCCCATCAGCCTGACTTCTATCCTGGGGAAGATCTTAGAAAAGTTTATTAAAGAGGCCATCCTTAATGGACTGGTCGACGCCAACATCTTAAGGGATAGCCAGCACGGGTTTGTTGCGGGTGGGTCTTGCTTGACCAATCTCATTTCCTTCTACGACCAGGTGACCTATCACCTGGACAAGGGAGAAGAGATTGATGTCATATATCTTGACTTCAAAAAAGCCTTCGATCTGGTGTCCCATGATCGCCTCTTGGAGAAACTGGCCAATTGTCGCCTTGGGTCCTCCACGATCCACTGGCTGGAAAATTGGCTCCGGGGTCGGACCCAGAGGGTAGTAATTGATGGAAGTCACTCATCGTGGTGTCCTGTGACCAGTGGGGTTCCCCAAGGCTCTGTCCTTGGACCCATACTGTTCAACATCTTCATTAATGATGTGGACACTGGAGTCAGAAGTGGACTGGCCAAGTTCGCCGATGACAGCAAACTTTGGGGCA